CTCTTAGATTTTATTTTAAAAGAAATTAATTTAAAAGGAACTGGTATTATTCTTGTAGGACATCTGTGTATCATTTTACTAAAGATTAGGGCAAGATATAATTATGGACGGTTTACCTTGAACTTCAAGTTATTCTAATTTTTTTTCCAGAATGAACTGTAGTAGATAGCACTGTCAAGATATGCCAGAGCAGCAAAGGTGAAATAGTATTGAGATGACTTTTTTATTCACACCTGAATAAAAATTGAATTTACATAACATTAGCAAGACCATAGTTGTTTTTAATTATTGAAATGTGTATATAATTCAGGACAGTGAGCATTTAACTATTTTAAAGAGACTATTAATGAATGAAGATTAGTATAATTTTTGAAATATTTTTAATATTTTGTCAAAAATTAATAAACTCAGCCCCAAATATTAACCTTGCAATATGGCATCTACAATATCTTCTACTGTCTCTCTACCAATATAGAATGGCAACAAGAGAAGTGAAGTTGATATTATTTTTCGTTGCAGTTTCTCTTGAGACAAAATCATACTGGATGAGAGGCAGAATATATTAAATTTCCCAGAGTATATTAAATTTCTTTTAGGTATATTGCTTTAATTTCCTTTATATCCTCCAGATATAATTTCTTCTAGGTGTTAGCACATGGACACTCTTTTCAAAGATGACCTAGATAATATTTATAATTTTATTTTATTGTACTAAGTTATCCTATTAATTTGAGGTAAATAATAGAATAGAAATCTTTTAGGCTTTCCTTTGAGAATTGTTTATTTTAAAGGAAATTCTTTTGGGGCCTTATCTTTTGAAACTGAAAAATGTACTCTGAACAAAGAGGGAACTTTTCCTTTGTAGGTTTTGCATACCTTTGAATGAATGGATAAAAAACCAAATAAGCTATGCTCTATATTCAAAGCTTCTACACCTCCCTTCATTTTCACAAGAGAATTTTTAATCTACAAATATAAAAGGCACACAGAATTGTGGGCAGGTTCTAAAGGTGTCAGAGTTTCTGATTTGTGGTTGGAACCAGTTTGAAAGTTGGACCTGATTTCATCATGGCTCTGCCTGGCTATCCATTGTCCCCATGTATCTGTTCCTACTATGTGTGCAACTCTCCCTTGTGCTACACTTGACAACTCCACCTGTGTGATGAACAGACTAAAGCAATGAGTTGCTCATCCCTGGTTCTGAAGTGTGTCTTGCAGTTAGGCCACACTAGGAATTACAGTTGTTGAAGAATAAGAGACAAATGTGAAGTAAAATGGCTGTCTGTGTAGCTTAGAGCAACTGGATGCAAAGGTTGCAGTATCTCCAATAGAGCTCTGTGGTACTATCAAAACAATTTAAAGCATTTTTCCCACCATGTTGTTTACATGAATTAATGTCTTCACTGGCAATCAAACCTTGATTACCTTCTATTCATTAGCTTTTGATTTAATTAATAAGACTTGTTAAAGAGGAATCCTCAATGTTTTCATGTAAACAGCTTTAATTTATTGATTCAATTCGAATTTTGTGTTTACTTAAATCAGTGCTTGAATTACATGTTTTGAACCTTCATAAAGTAACATAAACCTACAAGATAATTAGAAGATACAATGTTCAGTTTGTTTTTCCATAGAATAACAGGTATTAATATCTTTAAAATTTTGACATGTTTACATGAGTTAGTAACATAATTTTAAGCATTTCAGGCAATATGAAAGTTTAAGACACATGCGTGTGTGGGTGCATGCACACGCATGTACAACATTAGAAATTTCATAATAATTTTTTTTTCAAAAGTACCTTTTCTAAAAGTAGAGTCAATGACTGAACATTTACTAGGCTTTAAAACTGAGGGACTTAGCAGTTCGTGAGTGTCCAGACATGTAGAGAAAAACTAATTAAGAAAGGAGAAAGTCACGGTGACTCTTAGGTTAAAGAGCAATTTGATGATCAATATGATTCTTAATGGGAAACCAATGAAGCATTTGGAGAAGAGGGAGATGGTGGGTAGCCGTTCATGTTCAGATCATTAAAGGATAGTGAGTGTTTTGTTGGGTGTAAGAAAGTTAATTAACAAACCATTCTACAAATTCTAAACTTGAATGAAATGAAAAGTTACCTGTATCGACATGCATCAAAAACAGAGATTGCATCTTTAATCTGAATACAGGAAAATAAAGAAATAGTTAAATCAGATGTGAAAGGACACATTCTGATATTTTGGGATTTTTGGAAATAATTTTTGTAACTTATTCTGCTTTTATTTTGTATGAGGAAGAAAATATCAATGTATTTTAGCAGTCTGGATACTCATTTAGTAAAACGTACCCTGTGTTAGTAAGATTCTAGCTATTGGGCACATATCAGTTAACAAAACAGTCTCTGCTTTGGAACTTATAGTGTAGTATGAATATTAGGGAAATGTTTAGTTTCAAATAACTGTTAACTATTGCAATTATCATAGCAAAAGTAACACTTGGAGGTTTGATTCGTAGCGATTTCAGAATTAGAATTCCAGGAACTGGGTCTTTTTCTTTTATGTGGTTATCAAAAGCACATTAAATTTTATTTTCCCCACAAAATGATGCAAATTAGTTTATGAGTACTCATAGGGTTCCATTTTTAGTTGCATTTAAAGAGTAAGTGCTGACCTTCAGCCTGCTTTCAGTGTGTTACAGGCCAGTCATCGTATCATGGCCTGAGAGTGTATTTTAAGTATATAACCTTTACAAGCCTGAGGCCTCTGTATTCCAGAATTCAGTTCTTGGTACATACAAGTTTGCTTCTCAAGGGAAGTGGAAAGCCTTCTGGGAAGAAGGCTATGTGTGTGTGTTTTATGAGTGAGGGGAAAATATCTGTAAATGAGGGGAAAATCCAAGGCATTCCTGGAATCAGTTACTGCTTCCTCAGGGATCCAGGGATGAGCTCAGCTGGGCTGATGAAAATCTGTGCAGATGTCAGCACTGACTGCATCGCAGCCTCAAGCCCTGCCAAAGGCTTTCTCAGTCCTAAAGGACAAAGTGAAGAGCACAAGGCACAGTCTCCAGCTGAACCCCACATAGTTGATCAGTTTTTGCCTGCACCTGGGTACCTAGAGCACAAACAGAATTAGAGGAATCAAGGTAATGTACCCAGGAGAGGAGGTTGTGGGACAAAAAAGCAGCAGACTGGTCTTTCTAGCTGAAACACAAGGAAAAACCAGAACAACTTCTAACCTCCAGGAGATGGCACACTGTGGAACCTCATAAGCAGATGTCCTTATACTGTTACCACAACTAGTAATAATGGAGTTAGCAATCATTTCCATGAGAAATGCAACAGGGACAGTGGGCTGTGATGAATTCTTTGGCCTTTTTGTTTCTGTGGCAGTATTTTGAGCAAAAATAGACCAAGTAGATGTAGTTTTTAAAAAAAGACATTAAATATTATTTCAGACTCAGGTACTAGATTCTCTGGGCCACATGAACTCTCCTTTTTGGTTCCTCTGAAAAACTTTGGTAGCAATTTAAATTTCAGTGTAAAACTCTTTTTGACCTATCAGACTGGCAAAACCAAACATTGATAACATATAGTATAGGTGATAGAGGGAAGGAATAGGAACTTCTCTGTGTGTGTGTGTGTGTGTGTGTGAGTGACACACCCATTCTTCATTCTTCTAATTTTGATGAGTATTATACATTTATAACACTCATCAAAATTAGAAGTTAGAAATAATGTGTACCTTTTGAACTTGAAACTCTGTTTTTAGGAGTTTATCATATATTTTTTCAGGGATGAAATTACATGCACAAGAATATTCACTGCATCATTGTTTGTCATAGTACAGTTAGCAACAAGCTATGCCAGTTAGTAGAGAGATTAAATCAAGTGTGCTATACTCACACCCGGTGGCCTTTGAAAGCAAGAGGCAGTTTTCTGCAAGTTTATAAGAAAATCACCAAAATGCATTGCTAAGTGACAAAAGCAATATAGAATCTACTTTGTATTGTATACTATCATTTGTGTATATGTGTATGTTCATGTGATACAGATACATGGAAGTCTGTAGATCTGAAACCACAGAAACAGTGGTAAGTGGTGGCATCAGAGGATGGCAGCTAGTGGCTGAAGGATGGTGTGGCAGGGAGATTTACTTTTTACCAAATACCTTTTGCACTTTTCACATTTTAATCTTGTACTTTGTAAAAAATAAACCCTATTTTAATAACAAATGAATCACATAAAGTAAACTATCATAGAGATAGAGCAGTCAAGAAGAAGACCAATGTAGACAGTTAATGTTTTTGATAGTTGACAGAATGAAATGGATGAGACGTTAACTCCATAGTGTAATCTTACTTTTAATTAGAGCTAACACACATTTAGAATGTGTCTGGAAGAACCATCTGCTTTGGATAGGTCGTGTGTTATCTTGTAATAGTATATTCATAACTTTTTGATAATCTATAATATAAAACACAACCAGATCAAAGATAATTTTAGAAGGCTCTTATTTAAAAAACAGGAAAAATGGAAAAATGAAAGAGTGGGTGTAACACAGAGAGAGAGAGAGAAAGAGAGAGAGAGAGAGGAGGCTGAGTGTCAATTTCTGTCCTTGGGGATTGAATGACCTCATTCAAAAAGTGAAGAAACAAGGAGTTTTGAGGAATATAGGAAAAGAATTATTTCTGCTTGCTTTCTAATTAATCTGAGAATAATTGTCAAGCATGGTGATTTTGTTAAATACTAGTTTCTTACTGGAAAGAACAGAATGAGTCATAGAAAACTCCAGTTAAATCTTGGCCTATGCAAATGTGAATATTTAAAATGTGAATATTTTTTGATGATGATACCGAGTTTCTAGCCTTACTGAAATTAATCTTGCTGTAGCAGTGTAATTGAGTCACTGACATTTTCAGTGCAAAATTGCATAAAATATAAATCGTAAGGAAGATAATTAGAACCATAATAGGTCCATACTTTCAGATTCGCTTTTCATCTTTTCTTTCATTTCCCACAGGGTAAACGGGAAATTGGTAGCCCTGAAGGTGATCAGGCTGCAAGAAGAAGAAGGTACACCTTTCACAGCCATCAGGGAAGGTAGGCACTTTTGTTATCTTTGCTTTTGTGTTTGTATGACGCTTGAAATGGTGTAGAATGCATCTCTGAATATATGGAATTTTTAAATTACATTGGTGTATCTCTCATTGTTGGGTGTAAGTGGAAATTAAAAATTCAGTACCTCTTATAATCTTAATAAGTCATGTTAAATAAGACAAGGCCTCAGACTGTATGTTGAGAGGTAAGTTAAAACATTGATGATACAACTATCTAGATAGCTGGGTGCTGGTGGCTCACACCTGTAATCCTAGCTACTAGGGAGGCAGAGATCAGGAGGATTGTGGTTCAAAGCCAGCCTGGGCAAATAGTTCCGCGAGACCCTATCTCAAAAAAACCCTTCACTCGAAAGGGCTGGAATGGCTCAAGGTGTAGGCCCTGAGTTCAAGTCCCAGTACAGAAAAAAGAAAAGAAAGAAAGAAAAGAAAGAAAACTACCTAGATAAGAATTTTTTTACATCAGTTTGTTTGCAGAGCTCCTAAAATACATATTAGTGTGACATTCTATATTTATGACTCTTACATGAAATTCTTAAAAATGGGGGGTTAATATTATCTTATTAGTCGTTTGAATTTATTTATCATCTTTCAATCAGTTTATCTGTCTGTCTGTCTGTCTATCCATACATCCATCCATCTTCGTGATACTGGGTTTGGAACTCATCTTCTTGTGCTTGCTGTGCTAGGCACACTACCAGTTCAATCATGCCTCCAACCCTTTTTTGTGTGTGTGTGCTGTAGTTGTTTGGGCTCTTATTTTTTTTTGCATTATTGGAGTGTGTACATCTTAAGCCACTCCACCAGCCCTTTTTTGTGGTAGATTTTTTTTTTTTTTAGATAGGGTTTCTCCAACTATTTGCCTGGGCTGGCTTCAAACTGCAGTCCTCCTGATCTCTGTAGCTAGGATTACAGGTGTGAGCCATCGGCACCTGGCTCGTAATTATTTTTTAGGTAGGGCCTTGTGCTTTAGCACAGGCTGGCCTGGGCCACAATCTCCCTCATAGCTGAGATGACAGGAGTGCACCACTATGCACACTGTATTGGTGGAGATGGGGTCTCAGTAACTTTTTGCCTGGGCTGACCTTGAACCTCAATCCTCTTGATCTCTGCTTGCTTCCAGAGTAGCTGGGATTACAAGTGTGAAGCACCATACCCAGTCAGCTTTCTTTTTTCTTAATTTCCTTGTTCCCATACTTTATTGTATTTTCTACTGACTTTCTCATTTCTGCAAAGATATTCTTTATATATTAGGGTCACATATATTGAAATATTTCCCCCACTTTTTCATTTTTTAAAAACTTTATGATATATGTGTTTTGTATGTATAAGATTTTAATTTTTATGATCTAAAATTACTCTTTTACTTCATTAATTTCTGTATAGAGAGGTTTTTCTGCTTGAAGAGACATAAAATATCCTCTCCTTGGGAATTTTCAATTCAGTTTCATAACTCTTAGAATTAGTAATTTAACTTCTGCTACATTTTTAAAAGTACAAATTATCTTGACTTAAGATCTCAATTTATTTTTGTATTGAAGGGATTACAGCTACTTGTTCTGAAGAGCAGAACAAAATAAATATCACTGGCTTGCCATAATGGTTTTGTCAAGGTATTGATGAATTAAACCTACTCTGTCTCTGTTCTGGTTGGTTATCCACAACTATCAATATGATTCATGCTATTTTTGAAAAATCACCTTTCTGTTTTTACTATCTCTTCTCTCCTTTTCATTTCAGTCTGGCTTCCTTCATTCCTATTTAGCTGAAGCTGTTCTTATACAGTTCATCAATTACCTCCTTATTAATAATCAAATACATACTTCTTTTTTTTAATACAACTTTTTAGCAGATTGCACATAGATGAAACATTCTTTTCTGTGACATTACATTTTCCATATATGCAGGTTTTTTCTTTCTCTTGTGTTGGCTCCTTCTCTCTCTACATCTGTCTATTGTGTATGGATTTCATCTCATAGTAGTAGCAAAGAAAAGTAACAAACATGTTTGTTATATGAAGAGGGCACTGGTAGAAAAAGTAAAGAAAAGCAGTAAATGTTATTGTTATATAATGAGAGCACTGAGTCTGATGGGATTGCAAACAGTGGCTGAGATGGATCTTGGGTTCCTACTGAGTTGTGGAGGAAAGCAAGATTGACAGTGCTATTGAGTTTTATTCTGCTAGACACTAAATGTGAGAGAATGGAAGAGGGGCAAGAGACATTAGGCTAAGAAGGAAGCAGGAGGAGAATGGAATTGGTCAGCAGGCATGCTCCTTAGTATGTTGAGTATATACTAGAATCAACAAACCTAACCTTGTTGGTGTTGGTCCAAGTTCAAGGTTAAGAGCAAGTACATAACAACATTACAGAATCCATTGCAACAGGTGAGGCCATTAATAGAAAGTTCAAGGAAAGAAGCAAGTAGGATCAAATTGAAATTGTTGGTGATCTACTTGTTCATATTGGCTTGGTATGAAACCAGGTCCATGGCCACCTGAAAAGGTAGGCTTAAAGGCAGTACAGGGGATCAAAGAACACAGCGATGCTTGGCACAGTGAGGGCTGGTTGGCTGCCAAGATGACTTCATTTAAAGCCACGAGATGAGCTTACCAGTTGACATTGGTCTGCAGTTGTGTTGTAGAATACAGGGCTGCATAGGTGGGAACTCAATCTGTATGTTAGTAGATCTCTAAAGGGTTTTGAGCTGGCTATGTCAGGAAGAGAAATCTGATGTCAGGGTGTGTTAGATTAGATTAGGAGGAAACTGGAGGCTAATAAACCAGTCATTCAAAGTATTGAAAATTTGAAATTATGGATTTGTTAGAAGCCAAGAACAAATATGAGAGGAAAATAATGTCAGAGCTATGCAAATTATTGATATAGATGATATATGAAGTTTTGAGTTTTTATGAGTGGAGAGTGGTGCCAGAAATAGAACTAGTTCATGATTGTATGGGGAATTGCTTTTTTTTTTTTCCTTTTATTATTCATATGTGCATACAAGGCTTGGGTCATTTCTCCCCTCTGCCCCCACCCCCTCCCTTACCACCCACTCTGCCCCCTCCCTCTCTCCCCCACCCCCTCAATACCCAGCAGAAACTATTTTGCCCTTATTTCTAATTTTGTTGTAGAGAGAGTATAAGCAATAATAGGAAGGAACAAGGGTTTTTGCTGATTGAGATAAGGATAGCTATACAGGGCGTTGACTCACATTGATTTCCTGTGCGTGTGTGTTACCTTCTAAGTTAATTCTTTTTGATCTAACCTTTTCTCTAGTTCCTTCCCTTTTCCTATTGGCCTCAGTTGCTTTTAAGGTATCTGCTTTAGTTTCTCTGCGTTAAGGGCAACAAATTTTAACACTTTGTAGTTTGAAAGGATTGTGACTTGACTTAATCTCCAAATTATCCCTTATTCTATGGTATTTATATTATTTATGGAATTTGTCATATAAATATGGAATTGAGGCTCAGTGGAGTCAGATAACATGTTTAAAGAGTTGGCTCTTGTACATAGACCTTGTTAGATTCCAAAATAGTATAATGGCCAACTTTTTGAAGTGGTTGATTTGGATTGTAGACCTTTTGAGTTTGTGAGGCATCTATATGAAACTGTCTTGTTTCTGGAGGACCTCACACAACCATTTAGTGTAAGCAGTATATTTATCATGGTCTTTAAGAACTTGCGCTCATTTAAGATTTTTAAAAATGTAGATCAGGAATTTATTTTGCTGGCAGCTCCGCAGGCTAGGGAGTGTAAGAGTAAGGCCCTGGCTTCTGATGAGGGCCTTTTTACTGTGTCATCCGATTCCAGGAGACAGAACACAAGAGAGGGGAAGAGTGAGAAAGAGAGCAAAAGCCAGAGGCACATTTAAGGCTTTTGATAGAGAGAACTTTGAGTGTAGACAAGGAGGTCATTGCGAAGCTTTTAGTAAGAGGAAACCCTGTGGGTTTTGGAGTTTGGAATGCTGGGGTTTGACCCTCTCTCTGTCATTTTTCATTGTATCATATAAGATAAGCCGTCTGTATTAGCCTCCCAGGGTTGCTGTGACAAGGTCTCACAGGCTAGGTGGTTCAAATAACAGGAAGTATTTGAACTCTTAGAGTTCGGGAGGTCAAAGTGTCATGACCTTCTTTATTGGGGCTGATAGGGAGGTCAAGTTGTCATGACCTTTATTAGGGCTGCCAGAGAAGGATCTATTCTAGGTCTCCTTCTTTGGCTTGTAAATAGATATTTCCCTGTGCCCTCTCATGGTCTTCCTTCTGTGCTTATCTGTGTCTAAATACCTTCTTTTTGTAAGGATACCAGCAATATTGGATAAGGGTCCACCCTAATGACCTCATTTGAACATAACTACCTCTGTAAAGACCCTGTCTCCACAATCACATGTTATGAAGTACTGGGGTTAGGACTTCAACGTGCAATTTTTTTTTTTTTTTTTTTTTGAGGAGAGGCACATTTAGGCCCACTTAATAGTTTAAGGCTGTAGTAACCCTACTTGCAGAAAACCCTGTTCTTAAGAACTGTCTACTTCAGCACTAAGCTTTTGATTTTCCCAGAGAGTCTTTAAATCAAGAATGATAGAAGAATTGTTGAGGCCTGAATGGACTTACCACAACATGACATTGTGTTTTCTTTTTTATGCAATATTTTGAGGTTTTTCTAATAAAGTCTGACTTCTAAGTGATCTCTGATAAAGGTCAAATGGCTTTATGGTAATAGGAAGAATTAAACTCTGGGTCAGTTTATGTTCTCTGTTTCTCTTTTGCCTTTTCATTACAGTCGTTCATGGTCACTTTTCTGCTGTTTATATGTGGAAGCAAAAGCTGTTATTAACTATCGCTGACTCTTTCTGACTTTTCCCATTAATACATGTAGAATTGCATGCACAATAATTCTGGTGTGTATTTTGTGGCAGAACTTGAAATGTTTAGGAGGGTGGGAGATACTTGGGTTATGTTCATTTTCCATTGACAAAGGGACAGCA